ACAAACTGTATGGCTGTGGCAGGCTTCTTGCTAACTGTTCTTATAGCTTAAATTAATCCATTTCCATAAATCTATACCTTGCCACGTGGCTCGTGGCTTACCGGCGTCTTCACACGCTGCTTGTCCTGGCGGCGGCTGGCAGTGACTCCTTCCGCCTTCCTGTTCTTTCTTTTCTCCTCTCTGTTAGTCCCGCCTATACTTCCTGCCTGGCCATGGGCCAATCAGTGTTTTATTTATTGACCAATCAGAGTAATTTGACATACAGACCATCCCACAGCAGAAGGCTGCCGATTGTTTATGTGTAATATACAGAACCTGTGAAACTACCGAGATGGAAACAACGGTGGTTCTCAGGGCAGGGGAGAAGAGATCACGACTGCTAACGGGCGAGGGATTATTGGGAGCAGTAAAACTTTGCTGGAATTAAAGGGTGGGGATGGCTTCACAGTCTCATGAACACACTAAAAACTGCTAAACTGTGTATTTAAAAGGCCGGGCCTGGGGCTTTGATTCAGTCAGTCAGTGCTGGCTCAGCGTGCACAGAGCCCTGGGTTCAACCCCCAGCACAGCATAAACCAGGTGTGGCGCAGATGCCTGTAAGCATTTGGGTGGTAGAGGAAGGAGGGTATGAAGTGCAGGGCCATCCTTGGCTGCATGACATTCTAGGCCAGCACACGCTCCTATCTGAGACAGATTTATGAAATGTAAGCTCACCTCTCCTTAAATAAAAGGAAACCTTACAGGAAGGATGTTGAAACAAGGAAGGTCTGAACAGGTTTCAGCGAGACTGCTATGACATTGGAGCTGTGGAGGTGGCTTAGAGATTAAGATCACTAGCTGCTCTTCCAGAGGACCTGGGTTCAATTCCCAGCCCCCACGTGGTAGCTAACAACCATTTGGTACTCCAGTTCCAGGAGTTCTGTAGACGCCAGGCATATGGGTAGTTCGCAGACATACATGCAGGCAAAACAGCCATATACATAAATATAGAAAACAAAACTTAAAAAAAAAATGGGAATCCTCAGTCCTCATCAGACTGGGAGGGGAGGGGAAATAGTTGGCTCACCTACTTTGGGAAACAGTGTGAAAGAAAGTTCCTCAGACCTCGTTTATACATCTAGCATGCGGCTCAGCGGTTCCATGTCAGCATGCTTATTGAAAAGAAATAAAACATATATGGGGGCTGGTGAGGTGGCTGAGGGGGTAAAGGCTCTCGTCACCAAGCCCAAGTGCAGTCCTGGAGCCTACATTGTAGAAGGAGAGGGGCAGTTCACACATACGTCCTCCCACCTCACACCATAGCATGCGCGCACACACACAGTGGCATGTGCGCGCACATACATGCAAAGTAAAAGAACAAAGTGTCGCCGGGCGGTGGTGGCACACACCTTTAATCCCAGCACTTGGGAGGCAGAGCCAGGCGGATCTCTGTGAGTTCGAGGCCAGCCTGGGCTACCAAGTGAGTTCCAGG